CTGTTTTACTGGTTGCGGTCTCCAGTTCAGGCAGGTATAACAGGGAAGTGCCTGTTCACTGCTCCATCAGCTCTGGATGTTCTCCAGATGCCATTGGGGAGACCTGGTGGCTCCTGGGAAAGAAAATATGCTCACAAAGGCTCACTGGAGTGATTACTAGCTCTCCCACACCTTGGGAAGCCAGTGCTATCTGTGGCTCTGCCCTGATGAAACTAGGTACTGGTTGGATAACAGCCAGGCCTGAGCCAAATGGGCAGAGCACGGCAAGGGAGCCAGGAGGAAGGAAGTGAAGTCAACCCTGGGATCCTCAGCAGATGCATACTCACACTTTGCTACGAGCTCATTACCCCGACCATCACCCTGATGTGCTGCCCTGGTCTGCAGCTACGGCTGCTGGAGGAGCTGCCAAACCTGGCATGGACCCAGCCTGTTCCCAGAGGTCTCTTTTGGGCCAGGTCAGCCCCTTCCCAAGAGATCCATGTGCAGCAGTGGTGGCTACATGAGTTACACACAACTATCCCTCCACAGCCAGGCACAGCACAGTCTGGGAGCATAGTGATCCACAGGGACTGGTGTGATCCTGCTCAGGCTTGTGTCGGGCTGATGGATGGCCAAGGCTGAATATGTTGGGTGGATAGTGATCACAGAAAATATTTGCATTGTTTATCAGGCTGTGAAAATCATGGGGCTTAAAGGATGGAGTACAACCAGCAAGTAGTTGCTTAAGACAGCCTGCTGCTGGGACAGGCAAATCATGGCCTCAGGACAACTGGGAAGAAGATCTGTCCCAGTAGTCTGCTGGCAGCAGCCCTGACTGTCCTGAACCCCTGCAGGACTGGGATGACTGTGGTTCCAGTGCCAGGGGCTGTGGCTGAGGAAGGAGAAGGTGAGCTCGGAAGGGCAGCTCCACAGGAGCTTCTGACAGCAGGAGATGAGGTGAAAGAGTAGGAGCTTGGCCTTTTAACGACTCAGTAGCACTGATTTGTTCAAAGAAGTAGCAAGTGGAAGGAGAGGGAGCAGAGCAGATAAAGCTGCAGAGTAGGAGGCCAAAGGAGAAACAGGCAAGACAAGGGAAGACCACAGCTAGGAGACACATTCAGCCAAGCCAGCTGCTCATATCATGTTTTGGGGTTTCTTAATTGATTTTTACACTAACAGACAAGCTGATTTTTTTTTTTTTGATGTTTCTCTAGAACTGAGTCATTTCCTGGGGTGGGGGGTGGGAAAAAAGTAGTGTTTTTCTCAAAGTTTTAAAACAGAGTTTTAGTGTTTGGATTAAGGATTCTTTCTTTCTTTGTTTTTTTCTTTCTTTCACTGAAACAGTTGCATTTTTTAAAGCATGAAAACAAAAGCCAGTGGTTGACAACCTCTAAATTTGTGCCAGAGTTGCTCTTTGGTCAAATCGTCCATACCAGGTAGCCCAAAGCAGTGTGCAGGGTGGAGGGTGAGACTGGCCAAAGTGGCCCAGCTCCAGACTGTCTTGTCATTGTGTTCACCCGCAGAGGTTGATGCTTTTTCCAGCTCCTGCACACGTCACTGGTATTGGTGTCTGTCTGCTCCTCAGCACAGTGACCTTTCTTCTGGTTTACAGATCAAAATGGACTGTTTTGGCAGCAGTTTCCAGCTCAGTGTGAGCCATGTGTGCTATAGTGGACGAAGGACAAAGCTGCCTAAAGCCACCAGAGCTTATGTGGTGACCTGGGGAAGCCTAGTGTGAAACACTGGTGAGTCTGGATTTTTTTTGGCCAGAAAGCTGTAAATACGATGGGTTAGTTAAATCTTAAATGGACATCTGCAATCAAGGTTATTTGATAAGAGTTTAGAGCCTGATTAAAATGTAAGAGGCAAAGGGGCTTACCAGCCTCAGAGCAGGTTTATTTTTTTTTTTAATAAACAGGAGTTAACCACCTTAAAGGAGAAGTCACACCATCCAGGAAGCTCCAAGCACCAACTTCACTCTGTCCTGTCTTGCCTGTGGACAAGAAAACACTGGCCAAGGTGAAATGAACAGCAAAAACTTCCATTGACATCTGTGGGTCCTGGACTCATGGCATTTTTTGTTTGTTTGGTAAGCATGTCCTATAGTAGTTGGTTTCTGGCATGCCATGTGCATGGTCTCTCAGTGGAGGAGGAGGCAAACATGCCCTTTCAGAGTTACTGCCTCTAAGTCACACAGGTGGCTGCAGAGGGACTGATGCTCTTGGTGTAATTAAGCTGGAAATCAATTGGAGTTGCTGCAGTTAGCTCACATCCAGAGAGGTTTATCTCACTGCACTCTTTAGCTGGTTATCCTCCCTAAATTGCGTGCAATGAAGCTGGAACTGGGAGAAAACTTTTAAAGGTGTGCTCATTGAATACAGCTGGAAACCACAGAAGACATGTTGGACCATGCACCAGCTTGATCCAACTCTACCCTCAGTTTCTCTTGTCTTTCTTTCATGGTGGCAATGCTTGCTAGGACCCTTAGCACCACATGATGTGCAGTAACATCTGGAATTACAGACTAGCCTGGAGCACTGAGCCTTGGAAGTCAACAGGCACATGGTCAACAGCAGGCAATTGTAACATAGAGCCTGGCCCTTGAAAACAGCTTGATTTCTTATCCTCAGCAGATTGTATTAACCCATTCTTATCTAAACTGGTGAGGAGCAGTGATCTAACATTTTAAAACAAAAGGAAGCTAGAGAATACTCATGACTAATTTCCTCCAAACAACGTCATGTGGGTCATCTTCCTCATGTGTTGTTTGTTTTGCTGATTAGCCTTTAGGTAGATATTCATATATCAACTATTATTTTCCACTGTGAATTGTGGTTTTCTGCCCAGCAGCGAGTCCAGTTTCCAGGGTAATTGGGAAGCCAAGTCCTTTCTAACTACGCAAAAGATGAACTGTGTTTCCTGCAACTTTAATGTCTCTAATGTTAGTGGTTGAGTAATAGCCGGACACAACAGTGTCTTCTGTAAGGAAATATGCCAAAAGCTGCTGCTTAGAAGTGAATGAAACTTTTTAAATTTTTTTTTCTTTTTTGAAAAAAAAGTATTTTGAATTATTTGAAGCTGCAAAAACAGTCCTTTTCAATCAAAGCTTATCCTTCACAACAACAGGATGCATTGCTCTATTTAAGCAAGTAATAATATTGGTTTTAGTCACTGGACATGCGTCGCTTCCTGTTGGGAGGATTGCACAGAAAACTAATTTATTGTGTATCAGATCACTAATTCATTGTGTATTTGGAGAATTTATATACAGAGTTGTTTTCAAATACCATCTGTGTGTAAGAAAATATATCTTTGGAATAAGCTAGTGTGATCTGTCTATTGGCTGTACAACATAAAACAAAATGAAGGTAAGCAGCCTCTGAAAGTCTGTGTTGCTCTATTAGCATTAGCAAAACCATGAGTACTTGGGGTCTCAATGCTTCTGATTTACAGCCAGAAAAATTCAGTCACTAACTGCTCATTCTGGTTGTACAAGACCTTTCACCTAAAAAATCCCAGTTGCTTAGAAGGCAATTACTGGGAGCAATGGCAAAATTTTGCCCAAGGACTTCTTCATTGACCTCTGCTGATGATCTGCTTGGATTCTGCCTCTCCCAGAACATAAGCATAGTAGAGTAATTCTGATGTCTGTCACTGTTCCCTTACTTATATTAACAGTGTATTTCATGGCTAACTTCCCATCTTGCGGAGTTGGTTCCTCCACATTAAGCTGTACTAATGAACTGAGAACAGATTCTGAGCTCTCACTCTTCCAGGGGAAAAAGCCCAAACTGAAATTAATGGAGTTGGTCTGCTTTGACCTGGCATAAGGAGGATCCTCGTCTGCCTTCAGGTAAATGCCCTGGGGCTTTTCCTTCAGCCAGGCAAGGCTGCTGACACTGTCCTGGAAGCAGTTAACATTTCAATCATCTTTGGGTTTCAGCACTGCAGTTCCTGTCAGGGTGCTGAAGAAGGGCCTGACAGGCAATGTCCCCATGCCCTGACCTGAGAGGTTGTAATGAGATCCCAGCATTTTCCTGACAGTGGAGGACAGGCTGCATCTCTGCCCTGCACAGTCGATGGGATTCTGGGGAAGGAAATGCATATCAAAGCTGGTGACAACTCTTCTGTGTGCATACATAAATCAAGGTTTTGCTGTGCTTTAAAAGAATTATTTTTTTAATCTATCTGTATGTCAGTAGAGGATTTTCAATCAGAAAACTATCAACATCTGCAGATCCAGGCTTTTCTACATCATCTGAAGTCAGACTGAACATCTGTCAGCCCAGCCAATTGTTTTACCATTTTCCTGCTGAGCTATTTGCTGCTGGGAAGAGGAAGGAGGTGTTGAGCCCCCATCTAACCCCAAGGGCCCAGTTACCTTGTCAGTGTTAACTGGGATCCTCCTTTCAGTGCAGTGGGGTTAGAAATAAAATCCTGATCAGAAAGGACCATGCTCTCCCCAGTGCCAACAGCCAAGGGGAAACTGGGTCACACTAAAGAATACGCAGATGGGGACAAAAAGGATCCAGGGAACCTTGTCATTGAACTTCACCTTTATCCTCTGGCCACATGAATTGTGGTCCCTGAACACTTCAGCTCAAGCTGTGTTTAGCTCCTTTATCACTTTATCCCTTTTCCATCCTGTTTGTTCCTTTGGCCAGTTCTTTCACTGCAGTTAATTGACCTGGTTTCACTGATTTCTGTGAAGACTGGCCAAGCCTCCCAAGCTGGAGAAGTGGGTCACTTCCATCATGTACGCTGAGGCTTCAGAAGAGGTTGCCTCAACTCGCTCTTAACAGAGGATCTTTTTTGCTGACATGTGAAGCTGCATTTTCACCCCAATTTCACCAGACTTACGATTGGTTTCTGCAGGAGGAACACCTGGGCGGTGCTGTGAGGGAAAGGAGGGTCTGGTGCCTTAACATCTGTGCGAATCATGCTTATGTTGGTTCAGATAAATTTAACTTGGGACTTACTCTGAGAAACTTCAGACAGAAAAAAAACCCAACAGACTGTAATTCCCGAATGAGGGGTTTATTGCCAAATGGATGCACTGCATCAAGCGTTACAAGAAACAAATGTATCCAAGAGGGAGAAGTAATCTTCCTGTTAGGAATTACTGCAAACAAAACTGCAAATGTTGCCATCAGAGTTGAAATTTGAACCATGAGAGTGGAATTCCATACCTGAAAAAAATTGCATTTTGGCCCAAAGTGAGAGGCAGAAAGCTTTCTCTTGAAAAACCCAAAAATTACAGAAGCCAGAGGATCCCTCTAAACACCCTTTCTTTTTAGATCAGACTGCAGTTATGCTTAGACTAGTATTTACTAAGAAAATTGTTCCATTCTAAAAGAACACAGTCCAGAAAAGCAGGAAAGTTTCTTAGCTGGATATGGATAATTTTATTCATGTCGACGGAAACTGAACTGTTTCAAGTTAAGTACCAGATTAAGTACTTAATCAGAGCTAAAATTCATCCAATTTCTGTAAGAAAAAAAAAAAATCCCATTTCAGTGCAACTAAAGCACTGCATTATATCAGTTTCCCTTTTGAAATAGAGACAGTTATTGCAGTTTGTGAACACAGACACCTCCCTAGCTGAATCACCAAAATGCCTGGAAATGAACAACAGCATTCAGGTTGTGATATTTGCTGTAAAATGAAAAAACCTGACTTCACCCAAGTACTCCATTACCCTAGTGTAATGCTACTCCCTGGAGTACAGTTCCAAGTGCTTTTCTTAGTATCATGTGAGTAACTCAGACAAAAGGTTTTTTCCTCTGTTCTCTCTGAGTGACCAATATGCAGGAAGAGGAAAATGCTGAGTTTCACAAGGGACATTTTCCTGTATCTTACTGAACTTGTCAGACGTTCCTCTACTGCTTTCCAGCTCTGCAATGCTTGTCCTGCCAGCCAAGAATGGCCTTGGTCAGATTAAAAAGGGATTGTTGGACCAGCAGATACACGGAGCAATGAGCCAGTGTTGGACCACCTCATGACAGTTCCTTCACTGCAGAAATCACTTCAGAGCCCACACAAGGCTGGTCTAGGATGGAGCTCTGTCATCAGCACAGTCACTGAAAGCCTTGCTGATGTGAGCCAGGCTGAGAGCTGTGGGAAGGAAGAGTTCATCTCTTGATCAACCTGGTCACAGCTCTGGAGGCATCATCTCTTATGGCATTTGTGGAATCCAGTCTTTATTGCCTGCTGACAAACGTGAGCACCAAACTCCCTTTTGATACTGGACAAAGTGAAGCAGTGAGATATTCAGATTCCGGTGTCTTGGGAAAGTAAGGAATGTGTGCTTAGCTATAAGATGGTGCTCATCAAATTGTGACTGTCACAGAATTGTTCTAATTACACCATCAATCCATATAGGATTAATACATGAAAGCCCAGGCAGGGAAACATATGCTTTGGGGGTTTTATCTTCAGCACAAGCTTCTAATCTTTCCTCAGGAAATTACCATGTGTTTTATCAGTGCCTTGGTGTTAATTCTTAAAAACCAAATACTTCAGCCAAAAGGAACTGACCATCTACCTTATTTTCTTTCTTATAAATGTAGTTGCTGTTGCCTCATTAACTATTTAGTATCCTGGCAGGTTCATGCAATCAGCTGAGCTTGGCAGAATCACCAGGGTTATAGCCTTGAAGGAAAATGTCATAGCTCTCTTATCTAATACATTTTGTTTAGCAGAGATTTAAAATAGCAGTAACAGAATCATAATAAGATATATTTGGCAAGAAGATACAAAATAACTATTAAGCTGGTTTACATCTGTTTCCTTTTTCATTCATCTTTCCTTCTTTAATTACTTACTTAACATCAATCTGCTATTGCAGTAGCTTGGATTATTTTCATTTTAGGTCTAGCCTCCACGTCACTGGCACTGGATTTCATTGCTGCTGCTTCATCAGTAAGTAATGAATCTCTTTGTACTTACATACCCGGACTCCTGCAGTCAAAGTGATTAGCAGCACATCTCTTCAAATGCCCCTGTCAGGCAAAGGTATGAAGAACAAGGAGGCTTGTTCTGTATTGCCAGCATTCACATGTGTACAGGCTGATAATCACATATAACACAGTGTGAGATTTTGGAAGATGGGGGACAAATCTGTGGAAAGCTTTACACACATTAGAAAAAACTATATTTTGAGTAAGCACATATGCCCTGAAGTACCCCATATATATCAGCAGATGTTGCATCACAGTTCCAGAAAAAAAAAAAGAGAAAATAGTTATTTTTTCATCAGATGCTAAATACTTTTTATGTTTTGTTACTTATTTTCAGGTACTGTGCGTCAAAAAGAAAATAAATGTTTGTTCTCTTTGGAGAAATGTGAGATTTGCTCCTGCCTGTCATGGTTCTAAGCTCAAGAGCAGAGGGCTGGCTCATGGGATATGGGCTGGGCTAAGGCTGGCACTTTGCCCCACAGCAGTTGCAGCGTAAGGGGCTCCCAGGGAAACCTTCCCAGTCATCCTGGCTGGCCAACAGCCATGGCAGCGTTTGTTCTCTATAGACAAGAAGGGGTCTGAAAATAAGAATATTAAGTGCTTCCTAAAAAGGCTGGGCTGACCTGACCAAGGCTCTGTGCTCAGCGCTGTTTGTTTGCAGCTCTGCAGGTGCTGAGTGTGTTGATTGTATTAGAAGTGGGTAACTGCAACCTGATAAGGACAACTGTATGGTCTGTGTGTTGGTAGGAATAATCAATTGCAAAGAAATGGAGGAAAGAGCCAACAGAGCAAGCAGGAGTTAGCTGGAAAGGTATGGGAAAGAGAACTGCAGGCTCAGTGAGAACCAGCAGTGTCATGCTGCTCTTACTTAGAAAATTAAAAAAAAAAAAAGGAAAAAAAGGGCAAACATCATACTGGGGTACATGAGTTAAAGTGCAGTGTACAAGCTATGAGCTCATCCTACTATTCTACTCACCATGAGTAAGGCCACAGTTGGGTACCATATCCAGCCTGCAACCTTTGAGAATAGTTGCGGGTCAGCTTGAGAGAGATTAAGAACAAGAATGACTCTGAAACTGAAGAATGAAAAAGTAGTATACTTTACTGTATGCAATCATCTGAAGAAATTACAGAATAGAGGCAATGATAAATATGTACATAACTGCAGTAAAGAGGAAAAGAAATTATTCTTAAGGTTGATTGTGGGAATGTTAGGTGTAATTGTACTGCTTTTTTAGACATTAGGGACCAAACATAGAAGACTCCTTTAGAAAATTTCCCCTACACAATGAACATCAGGGTCTGACCTTTTGAAACCACAGTGACTAAAAGCAATGTGAAGGAATTGAGTTTGCCCACAAAATTACTCTGAGACAACACAGCGGACTCTCAGCTCACTGTCTCCCCTTCTTCTCTTCTCAGAATTTGTTCTTGAGCTAAAAGGAAAAATATTTGGTTTTAAATAATGGTAATAGTTGTAGGTAGTTGGTGAGGACCGAAGCCAGAATGTGTCATTTCTGCTGCCTCCTACCACTCTTTTCACAAAGAAGAGCATCTCTGCTCACCTGTCTCTAATCCTGCTTCTTCCACTGGCCCCATGTGCCCAATGCACTCAGCCAGTGCTGCATGTGGAGTGTACACTGGTTTACTGCAGCAGTTTTGGTCACTTCACCTCTTCCCTCCAGATCACTGTGACAGCATATCTGTTCAAAGTTTTCTCTATTTGCTTTCAGAACATCAGGGTGGAGAATTCCAGATGAGTGCCACAAAATCAAAGCTCACACTTGGGACAGGCAGCAGTTCTTGATGCCTTGCTGTTGTTGCCATAGAAAGCAAAAAGTGCCACCAGTGTCTAGTGACTGGTAAAGTAACCCCCAGCAGCACCACCAAAGAGGGAATACATTTCACAGGTTTTTTTCAGTTTTCTGCTTCCTTGTGCACTGATAAAAGCATGTTAACAGAACAACAGGCTTTATCCAGGATTTCTAGGGAGAATAGGGGAGATAAGAGCTTAAAGAGAAGGAAGGGAGGAGTAGGTAATGCTTGGGGCTGTCTGGTTTTCAGTCTCAAATACATGTTTCAGGTGAAAACATGCGACCTACTTTTCAAATTTACATCTCTCAGGAAGTCGAGGAATAGTCTCAGACTAATGGTGGTTTTGCTTTGTATGATTTCAGAAAACCAAATTTAAGTGATGTCAAAAAGAAAAAAAAAGATAGATCTCCACAGATTTTAAATAATCCCCTTTGGCCCTTCTGTGCTTGTTCTTTTTAAAAATTAAATTCTAGCTGATTATCATGGGTTTATTCCAGCAGAAGAATACGGTTCAAGCTTTGGATATGAAGATTGACATGCAGTTGGAAGAGTCCACATGCTTCAAGAAAGCATTGCTGATTTCTGACACACAGTAGCATGCAGAAGCCAAAATATGTTTTTCTATTTTAATTACATGACCAGTACTCATGAATGGGAGCCTGAACTCCATCTCCACTGACCTTGAAAATGCCTTGGAGGTTTATGATGAAATGAAGCATATGTTTTCTGATGATTTCTGGAAAGTGGGGAAACACAAAAACCAATTGGTCTAGTTTTACATTTTTTTCAGGGAACAGTGTAATACACCATCAGAGCTCCCACATTACTGCAGGAGATTTTAGCAGTTTTTCACTTCAGTTCCTGTAACGTACATGGTATTTGGCAGTTGTATGCAAATGCTCAGATCAAGATTTCATATATGACAGCCTCAGCCCTGAATAACTGGACACAGGTAAACCATGTGAACAGCCATTCTGGCTCTTGCTGATAAATCAGATCATCTTAATAGCTGAATTATTGTAGTGAACGAAATGTATGTCTATGCCTCAGTCACATTAATGACTCTGTAATGCTGTAGACATACACAAATTGACTTTTAATTGATAGCTTGATTATGGGTCTGGCCACAGTGACACAGAGCTCTGCCTCTGTCCAGGTTTTGTTGAGCAGTAGCGCCTCAATGCCCAGATTGAGACCTGAAGGAAGGCACCACTGACAGGTACATGGAGAGGTCCTAAGGAGTCTTTGGAATGCACTTGTTACACCCACTCTGAATGCATGGGTGGGAGTGGAGTGTGGATCAGCTGCTCTCTGAAAGTCACCATGACAGCTGGAGCCCAGCTGGGAGGGCTGGGTGAGCATTCTGAATATATCAGCAAACTAAAAATTCTCACCATGACATAGGCTGGAAAAATGGTGGACAAGGACAAACATGCAAAGAGAAATACATACCTATGAAAGTGCTCAGTGGGAGCTAATTTGTATTTCACCCCAAATATTAGGTGATGGCAAAGTAGGTGGATAAAGTGGGTTTGATATGGTTTTGTACAATTAGTATTCTTTTTCCCCCCCTGCTCTCAGTTTTCTATTGTCTTTCTCTTTCTCTCTCTCTCTGTCTCTCTCTCTCATGAACTGTCTTCATATCCATGTCTTACTGTTTTTCACACTTCTTTTCCCTAAGGCTTTCACTATGCAAATTTATAACCCCTCTCATTTCCCAGGATACTGCTTACATACAGAGGGTGAAAATCAGCCTTTTCCTGCTACATTATGTGGCCACCCTCCCTACCACTCCTGAATGACTCTGGACTGCTGTTCCCTTGAAGACTAAACTAGACTGGGATTTATTAAACCCTTAGTCCCCTGTTTGAATGATATATGGCCTCAGGCAGTAGGCACTGAGGTGAATGCACACTGTTTCCTTGTAAAGGCACAGTAAACCACTACAGAGTGCACTGCCCCAGGCATTCCTAAACTATCTTGTCCTGTGTCAGCAAGATGCCTTAAAGAACTCTCTATAGAGCTTTCATTGCTCCATTCTCCCTCTGCTCCCACCCTGTGCATTTCAATACAGCATGGAAAAGATTTCATCCTTAATTGAAATTCCTTTCATCAGCCTAGATATAGCCTGAACAAAGATACTGACATGAAAAAGCAGTCAAGAACATATCTTTAAAATGTCAATTTGCCAGTGACAGGCATAAAGTGCAGTCACTGCAAATCAAGACTCTAAACCCTCATTGTATATTATCACATAGCTGCCACTTCTCCCTTCCCCCACCCTTCCTCCCATAAGTTTTGATGCTTGTACATCTTTGTTTTCCTTTCCACATTCTTCTCATACTGTATTCACAGCAAATCTGAGGATAGCTGAGTCTTGACTAAAACACCGCAGACCTAGAAGAAAGCTATTTTAAACCCTGAAGAGTGTCATTTGTCTTACTCATATTTCTGAAGAAATTGGTCATTCAAGCTCCACGAGTTTTCTTATTTTTTTATTCATTCTGGTAAAGCAAGTGATACATTTTTGTCCATATAGACCTGTAAGTTTAATGCTACATGGGTTTATGTGGCAGAAAATTGCTACAGTCTCGTGCTACAGTCTCACTCAGGTACAGAAATAGAAATAAGTAATCCAAGTTCTTTCTGCTGGTACAATGTAGGGAAGGATACACCCAATAGAAAAAACATAAGTATGGGCCATCTACCAAAGGCTGTATTTAGCTTGCTGACCCTGGGTGATTAATTTAGGTGTTATATCTTCAAGTTTTGGCTATACAGAGACCAGAGTCTGGAGTAAAGGAGGCTCAGGAGAGACCTTATTGTTCTCTACAGCTATCTGCCAGCAGGTTGTAGCTGGGTGGGTGTTGGCCTCTTCTTTCAACTCACAAGTGATAGGACAAGGAAATGGCCTCAAGTTGCAGCAGGAGAGGCTCAGATTGATATTAGAAAAGACTTCTTCACGGGGTTGGGTTGTCAAGCACTGGGACAGACTGCCCAGGGAAGTGGTTCAGTCACCCTCCTTGCAGGTGTTAGTAGATGTGGAGACAGTGGCATTAAGGGACATGTTTTAGGGACAGACTTGGCAGTCCTGGGTTAATGATTGGACTCTGTGATCTTAAAGGTGTTTTCCAGCCTAAATGACTTGGATTCTAAGATCCTCTCACTAGCACCAGAGTTGTAGGTCTCCAGTAAGTTCTTGATGCCACCCTCTGTTTCCCATTAATTCTTTTCCAGACACACCAGCTCCCATCACATTTAGTTCTCTTGTGTTTGGGATAGTCTTCCATTCCCAAAGCAAATTAATCTTTCTGTTTTAAATACTTCTTCAAGCACACCATTTTCCAGAAACTGCAAAGAACTTGACCGTGACAGGGCTGATGAGAACATAGCCACGTATGCTCATTAATAATGCTTCATTGTTTGCCCTGCACCTGAGTTTGGTAGAGTTCAGTGTGATCTCTTGCCTTGTGTTTCAGCTGACAGAGCCATTGCTTGTCAGCTACTTGCTTTAACATCTCCTAGAACAGGCCTGGGATACACAGTTACTAAATTACACGAGCAGTAATTTGTCCAGGAAATAGGAAAAAATACTTTGAGGAACTTCCTAGTCTGAGTCTGGTGTTTGTAACCAGTCCTGAAGCAGATGATAGTTGCAGGTGTGCAGGTATGAGGAGTGTTTATCCAGCTGTAACAGCCTCACAGCAGGAAGTCAGGCATAGTTAATATTTAGGATAAGTAATCTTCACAGAGCTGCTGCCAGGTGTCTTCTGGCCTATTATTTTGTCTATCCAGTGTTCAGGAAAAGGAAGCGTGGTGCAAAGTGCTCTGCCCTTGCAACAGGCATGCTGAGGCTCCAGGACATGGAAAAAATCAAGACATAACCGACCACAGTGTGTTCTGTTTATTGTATTTGCCTTTTTGGTAGCTATTTGAAGATCTTCCCTGCTTACCTGAGGCATCTTTCTCGGTCCATCAAAAATTACTTAAAGGCTGGTAGTAAATGTGGTTTGCACAGCCCTATTAGCTCAAGGAGCAAATTCATAACACTTCCCCTTTGATTCAAAGAGGACACTTTAATTCTTTAATTTCACTACTGCAAGCATGACCTAAGGAAGGGCCAGGGTGGCACATGGGAAATATGGTCCTTTTAATTGCCTATTCTTTGGAATACTTACAATATAACAGCTTCTGCTGTCTGGCTCTGAGCGAGTCATACAGCCTTTGGGAGGGTTCTGAGGAACGTTAGTTTCAGTAGGTGCTGATGCCCAGATTCCAGCTCTTATCTCAGTTTCAGTGTGTGGGTAGGGAGAGGGACACGGAGGGGCAGCACTAGACAGGCTCTTCACAGCTCTCCTCAGCCAAATCACTTCTCAGGGTATAGTCAGGCTTTCTCAGGGTTGTATCAGTCTTCCCACAGATTATCAATAATGTCTCTTGTAACAGCTGAGGTGGAGCTTGAGGGCGTTTGTCATTCTCAAAGAATTTCACAGGGTCCTTCATTTATCTATTCTGTGTTTTCCTATCACAGTCTGTGGAGTAGGAGTCCCTTTCATCATTTCCTGACCCATACAGGGTGCCTTGGCTGTCTCTGCCACCCAAAGGAACCCAGCATCAAGTAGGTGGGACAAGTTTCATTACCCTGCCTGATCTCTGGACCCTGTCACCCTTCCAGTGGGATGTGCCTGGGACATGTGTAATTAACTGGGTATTCTCTGTCCTCTGGAGGAACATCCTCTCCATGCCAGAGGCCACAAGTTCAAGCTGGATGGAGATAAAACATTTCTGCCTTTCATTTTCTTGCTTAACAGTCAGCATAGACACAATTATTGCCAGCTGATTTTAACATTTCTAAAATTCCCATTGTTAGCAAAACTAAAGACTGCTGTGGATGGGGGCTGAGCTCATTTTTGATGTTCCAGTTCCAAAGACAAAGGACTATCACACATGACTAGCCTTTTGTACACAGGTTTTGAACTGAGTTTTCTTGGAGGTGGCAAGTGTTAACAAAAATGAAAGGGCATCTCAGGTTTGTAACTTGTGAAATTACGCCAGTTCCTGAGTTTTTGAAACTTTGTTCCTCATAGGTTTAGCGCTTAGGTAATGGCCAAACAGGAGGAGAGCAACACAAAGGGGTGAACATGCTCACCATGTCTCAAGTCAGGACATTGGTAGGAAGTGTAAGAATTGCAGGGTAAGTGCAGTTGTACATGTGTAATTTTCCTTATATTTTCACTTCAGCTACGCAACTTTTTTTTTTTTTTTTTTTTTTTTTTTCAGTAAGCATGCAATGCTGGTTAACTAAGTTATACCCTGTGTTACCAACAGAATGTGACACATAAACATCATTTGCCCACAATCTTTGCACTCTGCTCTCAGGGTCAAGCATGCATGGGAGATGCTGTACCACTTATCCATGGGGTCTGCCATATGCTCTAAGCAATTTGCTAATTTATTCAATGAATTACTTGGGATACAGATCATTACCCTCATGAGGCTTCTGCAATTGCACCATTTTAACTTTTCCGAGGTATCTCTCGAAACTGCCGACAAACCAGGAGATCCTCCAGAGCTTTTGTGCCTGGGACGCACAGCTGGCTCGGCAGCCGGGCACTGCGGAGGAGCAGCTCCATGGGCACTGCTGCACAACTTGGGCGACCCGAGGAGCGATGCTCAGGCCCCGGGGAGCCCTCGGAGCGGGGCGGGGGCAGTGCCGGAGGTGTGAGCCTCAGGTTGAGCCACAGGTTGAGCCTCAGGTTGAGCCTCAGGTTGAGCCTCAGGGCGACCCCAGCCCGGTCCCCTCACGGAGCCCTCGGCGGGCGCGAAATGGCCCCGCGCGCGCCGCCCTCGCCCCCGGCCCGCCGCGCACGCGCGGGGGTGGGCGGCCGGCGGAGGGCTTTGGGAGGGGGGTCCCTTAAAGGGCCCGGCGGCGGCTCCTGCGTCCCGACCGGCGCTGCGGGCCCCGCTCCCGCACCTCCCGGCGCCCCGCCCCGCCGGCGCCGCTGCGGGCGCGGCCCGGCACAGCCCCGCACCCACCCCGGCACCTGCGGCGGCGCCGCTCCGCGCCCGTAACCCGGAAGCGCTGCGGCGGCGCGGAGGGGGAGCCGGGACATGGCCGCTGCCCGCTCCAGCCTGCGCGCCGCAGCCGGCATGGCCCTGCCCGCGGCCGCGCGCGGCTGAGCTCGACCTTGCCTTCCCCTTCCCTTTCGACCCTCCTCATCCTGCGCCTCGTGCTCCTCTTCCTTCTCATCTTCCTCCTCCCGCGGACGCTGCCGGGGCCGGGCCGGGGGCGGTGGCGCTGCGGGGGCCCCTCGCTGCCTTGCGGGGCGTCCTGGGGGCCGGGCGGAGCGGGTGGAGCCGCGCGGGGTGCGGTGCGTGCGGGAAGGTGATCCCTGGATCCTGCATGTTCCATGCTCCGGGGCTGGAGCGCCGCACTGAGCCGTGGCATCGGGGAATTAATTTTGTAAATGTGTACGTGTGGCTCATGTGCGGTGAGGGGGGTCTAGGGTCGTGCTTTGGAGAGTTGCATTTGCTGTAGCGTTAGTTGGAGGCTGGTTGTAGCCCATCTGTATTTCGTGGGGTTGTGTTTTTGGTTTGTATAAGCAGTTTCTAGGCTTTGAAGAGCTGCATTGCCGTTGCTGTGAACTGTAGTTCTTCCAAGGTTGCCATTGTTTGCGTTTTGGGAGGGCAGCTGGTGGCCTCGCAGGAAGGCGGCAGGTCGCGTCGGAGGAGGGCTCCGGCTCGGTTCCGTGTGACTTCTTTCCAGGGGAGGTTTAGCTTTTCTCCGGCGTCTCTGATGCCAGAACAAGGCCCCAGAATGAACGGTTTCTCTCTGGGCGAGCTGTGCTGGCTGTTCTGCTGCCCGCCCTGCCCCAGCCGCATCGCTGCCAAGCTGGCCTTCCTGCCCCCGGAGCCCACCTACACCGTGCTGCAGCCCGAGCAGCAGCAGGAGCCCGGGGCGGCGGCCGCGGCGGGCACCCCCACGGCATCGGGCACCTGCAGCCTGCACCTCAGCGAGCGGGCCGACTGGCAGTATTCCCAGCGGGAACTGGATGCCGTGGAAGTGTTCTTCTCCCGCACGGCCCGAGATAACAGGCTGGGCTGCATGTTCGTTCGCTGTGCCCCCACCGGCCGGTACACGCTGCTCTTCTCGCACGGTAATGCTGTGGACCTGGGCCAGATGTGCAGCTTCTACATTGGCCTTGGCTCCCGTATCAACTGCAACGTCTTCTCCTACGACTACTCTGGCTACGGGGTGAGCACCGGCAAGCCCTCTGAGAAAAACCTGTACGCAGACATTGATGCAGCCTGGCAAGCCCTCAGGACAAGGTAAATGGATGCTGGGGACAAGGTATTTCTGTGTCTCCCTTTAATCCTAATAAGTCTGCACGGTTAACCTTGCTGGTGGAAGGGAAGGGTTTGTAAATGGTTTCAGTTACTTTGGTGACCTCACCAGATGTTCCATGAACAGCTACATTGTGATTTACTGGATGGCTTCATTTGCTAAAATGATGGGCAAACCTTCATCCTTTGGCTTTTTCTAGGTTTAGGGATTATTCAGTTGTAATTTGTATTAGCCATTGCTTCACCATTGAAAATCTCCATCTTGAGTAGGACATACTGGTTGCAGTTTGAGTTTGCAGAGTGCAAGAAACCTGTTGTTCGAGACTTGCCTGCCACTGTCTACACTTAGAGGTAACCCAGGTGAGCCAAAGCTCTGACTGAATTTGGCAGTAGCCTTGGCTAGGGCTTACCATGAAACTGCTGGTGTTGTGTGACATGATTGGGGTTTCATGCAAGCTCCTGCAACATGGACGTCTTTCTCTTTTGGCCTCAAACAACTCTTATCCAATGCTTATGGTAGTGGGCTGGAGGAAAAAGTGTTGACATCTGGAAGTAGAGCTGGGGCTTCTGCCAGGAGATGCCAAAGTATGTGGCATCCAAAGGGATGGAGCAACAGTGAGAAGGCTCTGGCAAGAAGCAGCATGGTGAGTGGAAACAGTGAGCCCTTGGCTTCTAGAAAATCCTGAGCAGAGCTCCTGGCTCTGGCTCCTTGCTATACCTGATGGCCGTCCCTGGGCCTCTCACTTCTGTCCCCAGAAACCATGAACTCCTTTTGCTGTTGCATAAGTGGTTCTTAAAGTATGACCTCATAGAACATGTCCTGAAAGAATGAGCTTTAAAAAGCTTAAATTGTAGTAGGCCGAGAGAAAAGAGCGATGAACGTTTTTAGTTCTTGGCTCTGGCATTCATAGACAAACTTGGCTTGCATGAAGTGCGTATTTAATGTCTATCTTGGGGATACGTGCCAGCTTCAGAAATAGTGACAGGAGTTGTTACTAATTTAGATAATTGGCTTTGCAAGAATCCAGGGATTGGTTAGTTGTGGAGTCTAAATGCCTTTTGACATTGCTCTGCCTAAGTCAAGCGAAGAGCGGGGAGAGAAAGGTGTAGGGAGAAGTTACCCTTCCATAGCATGTGTTCTGTCTGCTTGGTGAGCAAACCAGATTCTGGGCTTGTTTTCCAGGACTTTAAAAAAAAAAAAAAATTGTTCCCTTGAATATAAATAATATGGTCTTATGTAAAGAAGTGATTTTGCTATGGCGTATGCATAATAAATTATTAAGTGCCACTACAACACACACGGGTGATGTAAATAAGATTCAAGGGAGGAAAAGTGCTGCATCTAAACCAAGCCTAGGGAATGTTTGTCCTTTGGTTACTGTGTTTTCTTTCTTTCACTTGATGCTTAGTTGATGATATTGTTTCATTTAAACCTTCTCAAGCTCTGAAAAAGTGCTTTTACATCTGCCTGGAGATGCTTCTTCTATGCTGACAGGCATTTAGTATATGTTTACCTTCTACATAGGCCCAGAAACAAGGGGTTCCTTCACTTAAATCTTTTAAGAAACCTGACCCAGTAGGTCATGCCACCACATGCTCAACTTGCTCTGAAAAGATCAGGCTTCCTCAATAAATGTGTGACTGGACAGGTTTGTAGTTTTCCATCAGGGTCCCTTCAGTGGTTTATGCGAAATCTAGGCTCTGCTTTCCACCTTAAATTGAGGGTGGCAATTGAAATTTCCCAGCTCTTACTTTGCAATGTTTGTTAATTCCATATTTTAGTGTACCTTGAGGGTACAGTTAGAGTAGTTGGCATTGGTTAGGTTTTTAGGAGGCAAAATTTGGAATTGGAATTGGGCGCTCAGGGAAACGGTGGCATCACCACCCTTGGGACAGTTCAAAGGGCATGTGAATGTGGCACCTGGGGATGTGGTTTAGTGGGGATCATGGTGGTGCTGGGTTAATGTTTGGACTCGATGCTCTTTGAAGTCTTTTCCAATGTTAACAATTCTGTGATTTTATGATTACAGTGTTTTAGGTGCCCAGTAAAGAAGTTGGCCACTGTAAAGTGTAAGCTTCAATAGAAAGTAAATAAATTCTATTAGCAGATGACTGTTTGTAACAGGTATGAGCTGAAACCTTAGCCTTTCTGCTGATGAATTCTCCAGGTAACAGTGTGAGCTTTACAAGACTGATCATTTGCTAGTCCTCAATCCAAGTGGCTCACAATTAGTGAAATATTCTGCAGCAGAAATACAAGTATGCCTCTTGAGGTAAAATGTCATGTTATAGCATTCCTGCTGCAGCAGTTCCTCGGTAGCTCCAGGAGATTGTGTATGCTTTCATTCTTAATGCAAATTCCTGGCGTTTGGCCTCCAGTCATATGGTAGTGAACTCCAATGCAAAGTTAAAAGTGCAGTCTTAAAATAGAGGTTCACTGTGCCATCAAAAGCATTTAGTCATCTGTGCTAAGTTCCGTGGGAAGCTGTTGCTCTTCTGAATCCACCAGACGTTCCACCTGGCAGCAGAAAAAGAATCATTAAAATGTTGGAAGTCTGAGACTCTTCCCTTTTAAACTGTGCCTCTGAAGTATCACTGATACTTAGCAATCATTAATTAACCTGCATGTTTTGCAAGTTGCCTTGAGGAAGGTGGGGATTAACCCTGTGCTTGGGGAAAGCTGTCAAATTTTAGAAATGATGGTGAGCTGGCAGTGATGCCTTAAGTTTTAGCTTTCATATTTTTCACGTTCTATGCTGCTTTAGTGTGTAACCTGAGCTTCATATTAAGTGTTAGCAAGCTCTCTTCACAGGGTAGGCAGACAAAACAATCCTTTTCCAACTTGAGACCAAGAACAACTGTTACAAGCTCCAGGCCCAAAAAGTACAAACAACGGTGAATTGAAGAGAGAAAGACATTGAGGATGGAACTTCATAACCTGGGGCTATAATTGGGCAATTAACTCCAATATGCAAATGGACCAAAACTTATAAAAGTGTGGGACCTCATGACCAGTTGTCCATTTTGGGTTCATCTTGGGTGTAACCCTGGCCAGCTCTTGTACTGCCCAAGGTACAAGGCCTTTTAATAAATACCTACTTTATCCTTTAGCTCTGTCCAGCCTCTCTTCTAGGTCAGCCTTTCAAGGCATCAGTTCATTTTGCCATCATGGTTGTAGATTGTGACTGTATATTTTCAAGGTCCTGAACCAAGGATCTTGCTATCACATACAGGTTTAGGAATCAAACTTTGCATAACAAATGATTATAAAACTATCTGAAAACAGTGGATGAAAAAAACCAAAATCAAATTCTTTTGTTCAGTTTCAATTATCAGCCCATTTTTGCACAATCACTCTCAACTATTCTCCATTCTTTTAGTCTTTGTAAAGACAACTTATTTTCCTTAATTTAAAGGAATTTAATATTTTTTCTCATGGAATAAACTGTAAAGGGTAATATTACTAATTGCTAATTTTGAATTCTGTCTCTCAGCCCAGTAAAGATGTTGACATACAGTTTTGTTCCCTTAAGATGAATTTTTATAGATTTTTCTTCAGAGGCTGTAATTGTAACATTGGTTCTTTTCATTCCACTATCAAGTATTGATCAGTGGTTAATTTGGTCTTTTATATGTATTTTTTCCACTTGATTAACAAATTTCCATCTGGTATCTTAATGTTTCTCAGAAAGAATTTTCTGTCTTATTGCTACAGATTTTTTTTATAAGTGTTTTATTTTAGGCAGTTTGGGTTGATTTTGTTCTGTTTGTTTCAAAATCAGGACCAAATTGAAGAGAATGTGTATCAGACTGTCGTCTCTCATTGTCCATGTGGTTTTAAGTTGCTGCTTTTTGTTCAGCTGTGTCTCTTATCCTAATATCTGATTGTCTAAATGCAACATCTGTGCAAAATGACTTGATTGTCCTCCTCTTCCCCCCCTTTCCTGAATCCCACATGGGAAGGTTGAACTTTCTAACACTTTTACATTAAGACAATGTACAGTACTTAAAAACAGGATGCACATGTAGGGCTTGGGTTCAGTGCTCAAGCACATAACCATGGCTGTTTTGTTGATCATATGCTATTTATATTAAAATCAACTTGTATGTTTCCTAAAAATTTGGAGAAGGTTGGTGAAGTATTTTAAAATCCTAGTCAAAAGAAAGAAGGCACTGCTGCCCCACTCCCTCTGCTTCTGTAGTAAAGTATCAAAGAGCAGAACCTGTCAGTCCATCTTTTGGATTCTGAAAGGAGGTGAAGAAAATGTCATTAATAAATAGCTTAGAGTAGCTGTTCTTGTTGCATTTAACAAGATACAACTTGTTTTTCATGGTGCACAATATAAACTAGTATTTTTTTAAGCTTTTAATAAATGATAGATGTTATTGTAATGTTTAAATCCTTAATTCTCAAAAAGGCGCATTTGAATTTGTCTTTCAATCCATAGGAGAGCATCGGTTCACTTTTAGTTTTCCTCATGCTTCTTGGTCAATATGGTATGATGGAAGGAATTGAATTGTGATATGGTGTAGTAAAACTGACAGGCCTTTGATCACTGGGTAGCAGATAGAATGTTTGAATTGTTTTTTAAGCTGTTTTGCCAAAATTTAATGTTAAGAAAATGTACACCAAACTTTTAATTATGCAAGAATTGTATTATTTGTGGTGCTGATTATTAGGAGATTATTGCTGTTTCCTGTGTAGGAGCTGGTGAAGAAGTCTTACATTGAGTAAAATCAGGAACACACCTAATTGGATTAGGCCAGAGTGATAACTAATCTTCTGAGGTTGTGTCAGTTTAGTTTGTCTCCGTTCTGATGTGATGAGGTGCTTACAGCTTTCCAGGTGAATAACAGCTTCAGGGGATTTTTGCCTTGCCTAATCAAAATAGTCGATTTCTACTTTAATTTTCTTTGCAGCAGAATTTTGTTTCACTAGCACCATATTTTGTGCATGATCTAAGCCACGTTCTTTAGATTGGTTG